GGAGTGGAGCACCTGGGGGTATCCCTTCTGCCCTGCCCTCCACACACCCATCACCCAGACACCCTGGCAGATCAGGAGGCAGAGCCCAGCTAGGGCAGGAGAGGGACAGGCAGAAGGCCCTGTTCCTCTCAGCTTCTCTCTGGCTTCCCTGGGAAGCAGAGAGTACTGGGGGGAGTCCTTTGGGAAGCCTGAGCTGGGTCAGGTGTGGGTGGGGACCCAGGGCAGGGTAGGGCCATTGCTGAGGTCAGAAGAGGCCCTCTGCCTCCGGGTTTCCGCTGACATCACAGCCAGCTTAGGGTGAGGCAGGGCCTCTGGGCTCCTGCCTACTGGAGGGCAAGGGAAAGTGTGTGCATATACACATACACATACACACACACACACACACACACACACACACACACCCTGCCTTTCCTTCCCCCTCCTGCCCTTGGGGCCCCAGTGGTGACTGCACACACACACTGGAGGGTGTGCACACGAGGCAGTGGAAAGGAAGGCCTCCTCCTGGGGACACCGAATCCCAGGGGATGTCCTGGGTGGGACCTCTGAACCTATCTAGGGCTCACTTTGCCCTCAGGAAGCAAAGGGTAGCCCTTGCTCTTGTTCTGCTGTGGCGGTGGGGCGGGGGCGGGGTGATCATCTAACTCCCAGTTTAATGCTCATTCCGGGATTCCCAACTCCCTGCTAATGGAATCCAGAGTTCTAGCTGAGCCCTCTAGTGTGGGAAGGTGATGCCAAGTGCCTGGCTCAGCTGCACATGGCCAGTTCATGTAAGGGGTCGGTGGTGGGGAGGAAACCCAGGTCTCCCTGTGCTCCAGGCCAGGATTCTCCAGGCACTGGATGACTCTCTTTATACCCCAAGCAACATCTGAGTGACCTGAAGAGACCAGCTGTGCCAGGCTAGACGCCTCATAGCCAGGGGCACTCAGCCAAGTCCTGCTATTGCTGAAGTCTGTTCCCAGCGCCCAGACTCCTCTTTTCAAGATGTGCCTCTGGCCCCTTCCTCAGGCTGGCACCTGCATGGTGGAGTTAAAAGAGCATGTTGCTGAAGTTGGATAGCACTGGGTTCCAGTCCTGGTTCTACCACTTCCAGGCTTGTGTGACCTCAGACAAGTGACTTTGTCTCATGAAGCCTCAGGTTCCTCATGTATAAATAGGGAAATGATAGCTCCTGTCTCGGAGTTACTGCAAAGGTGAAATAAACTAGGCCGGGCGCAGTGGCTCACGCCTGTAATCGCTGCACTTTGAGAGGCTGAGGTGGGTGGATCATGAGGTCAGGAGATCAAGACCATCCTGGCTAACACGGTGAAACCCTGTCTCTACTAAAAATACAAAAAAAAAAAAAAAAATTAGCCAGGCGTGGTGGCGGGCGCCTGTAGTTCCAGCTACTCCAGAGGCTGAGGCAGGAGAATGGCGTGAACCCGGGAGGCGGAGCTTGCAGTGAGATGAGATTGCGCCACTGCACTCCAGCCTGGGCAACAGAGTGAGACTCTATCTCAAAAAAAAAAAAAAAAAAAAGAAAGAAAGAAAATAGCCCACGCAAAGCGTTAGCATTGTGCCTGATGTGGGAAACAGCTGCGTGCACGTAAACTATTGTTAGTATTTCAGCAAAGTAACTGTTAGTAAGAAATACCAGCATCACAGTAGGCTGGAGGAGTCGCTGTAGCAGGCATCTGCCTCTCCTCCCAACACCCAGGTCAGCCTCCGCCCCTCCACCCCACCCCCTAGGGCTCCTCTCGGTCCCCAGCACCAAAACTTAGGGAACGTTTGGTGAACAAATGAATGAATGAGTGTCCCTACTCACCTCTGTGGGTTTCTCCAACACAACTGTCAAGAGGGGACCAGCTAGAGACTCCCCTAGTTCAGGAACCTGGACACTCCCTGGGCCAGGGTCCCATCAGTGCTAACTGTGCAGCTGTGTGCAACATGGTGTTTTGGGTACCTGGAGAGCCTTCCTTGGGGATGTCACCATGTGGGGAGGAAGGGTGGAACCCTAGCCGGTCCCTGAGCCTACACTGACTCACCCTCACCCCTTGGAGGGCAGCTCAGTCATCACCTGGTGCCAGCTCTGGCCCCCAGCCAGCCACATTTCTTGAGGGCCTGACCTGACACCCCCCTGTGGATGGTGAGGCCTGGAATCTTTAAAAGGCCAGAGAAGGCAGCAAGCCAGTGGCCTCTCATCAGCTCACAGACTACTCCCACCATCCTGTGGAGAGGAGGGCAGAGGTGGTCAGACCCCATCACACAGAGAGGTGACAGGCTTGTCCCAAGGTCACACTGGCCAATTGGAATGGAGGTTTCTTGACTCTCAGAGCATCTCTGTGCCCACTGCAGGGAATCCTGGACTGCACCTGGTGCTACCTTGGCACTTTGCCTGTGGTTGCCACTGCCCTTCTAGCTCAGTCCATCCACATTTCTGCCCCAAAGCTCTACCTCCTCCAGGAAGTTCTCCTCCCACCATCCTCCTTGGCCCTAAATGTACCCACTGCCACCTATGGCTGATGTCAGACAGTTTAATGAGTGTCCCTAGACTGGAATTCTTTCCTTTTCTTTTGAGAGAGGGTCTTGCTCTGTTGCCCCAGGCAACAAAGACCATGTGTAGTGGTCATAGCTCACTGCAGCCTCAAACTCTTGGGCTCAAGCAATCCTCCAGCCTCAGCCACCTGATTAGCTGGGACTACAGGCATGCACCACCATGTTCGGCTAATTTTTAAATTTTTGGTAGAGATGGGGGTCTCTATGTTGCCCAGGTTCGTCTCAAATTCCTCAAGCAATCCTCCTGCCTGGGCCTCCCAAAGTGCTAGGATTACAGATGTAAGCCCCAACTGTGAAATTCCTAAAGGCAGGGATGGGTTTTCCTTGCTCTCTCTCTGTCCTTAACAGGACCTGGCAGAGACTGAGAAAGTGCCTGCACAATGTGCCCCTGGAGCAGACGGAGCGCTTCTCTTTCCCATGCTTGTCTGGAGCTGGGGGGACTGGCGTCTCCTCTAAGCTCTGCCCTCCCACCAGCAACCCCAGATTGTCAGCACTGGAAAGGCCCCTAACAAGATTCTCTGAGAGTCACAGGGGAGCAGGAACTTTCCCGAGGTCCCCCAGCTGGAAATCAGAGGGCAGCCACCTGTCCTGCCCCATCCTACGGAAACCCTGGAGGGGCCACTCCTGCTCTTTCCTCTCTTCCTTCTTCCCCAAACCCCAGCAGCTACCCCCATTTAGGGACTTGGCAGGATAAAGGCACCGTCTTTATTCCAGCCCCCGACCCAACCCAACTGGCAGCTCCCAGCCTGCTGCCTTTGCCCAGGCATGGCAGAGGGGCACTGGCAGCTTGGAGATGGAGCTGCTTTTCCCTTTGGCAGTGCAGAAGGTGGGGGAGGGGAAGGGAGAGGCTTGGCCCCCACTAGGTGAGGGGAGAGGGCAGGGAGGCAAGTCCAGACAAGAGGCAGAGGGAGAACACAACTTTCCCAGCTCGTGGGGTCACTACATTAAGATTCAAAGACAAACTGGGGGCTGGGGCGCTGTGTGTAAAGTCAATTGTCCCTGTACCCACCTGGCCTGGGTCCCTGTTTCAGAGCTGCAGCCCTCAGTTCCTGCAAACCAGTGCTTTCTGGCTGCCCCAGGTGGATGTCTGCTGGGGGTGGTGTTGTCCACTCCCACCTTCTGCTTCAGTCTCTTCCTCTCCCCCATCCGCTGCTTCCCCCTCTTCCTCCCAGCTCCCTCCTCCCCTCTTTCCCACTCCCACCCATTTGCCTCTTTGTGTCTCCTCTTTCCTTCCCAGTCTCGTCCCTTCTCTGGTCTCACCCCTCTTCTCTTGCCCCCGCCTCTTTCTTCAGCACCCCCTCCCCTCCGCTCCCCCCACACTGGGGCTGCTTTCTCCCTGACTCAGCAAGGTGCTTTATAAGGTGCTGAGGGGCTCAGTCAAATCCAAACCACATTGTGCAGACTCCACAAGGAGCGGCTGCGAGGTGGAGGGAGAGGTTGAAGCTGCTCCCCTTCTCCCTCCTTCTTGGCCCCCTCCCTCTGAAAGGGTAGCAGCTAGGGGGACCTCCTGGCTGGCCTCAGTGCCATGCATCCATGGGCATCTGCCTTCTTGACCTTGGCATGGGCATCAAGAAATCACTGGGCTCACCCACCAGGAATGTCACTGAAACTCCAGAGTCCTGGCTGGTGGGGGCAGGGAGGAGGTGCAGTGGTTGGGGGTAGGGGGCGGAGGGAGGCCCTAAGCACTTTTCACAAGGGTCCCTCCAGGCAGTTTTCATCAGTGCTGCTACTGAGGTCCCTCAAAGTCCCCTGCCCCCCAACCCAAGCCAGCTGTCCTTTCCCAGCTCTTTTTCTCCTTGTTTAGGAAAAAAAAGGAAGAAAGGAGAGAGAGGGGGAAAAAAAAAACCCAACAACAAAGTCTGTCCCACTCCAGTGAGGTAATTGAAAACAAACTTCTTCCCCACCCCCCCGCCCCCCCCACCTCAGTGCTCACAGTACAGAGAAGGGAAGAGCTGCCCCGGGACCCAGCACTGGCCATGATCAGGATGCCTGCCCAGGCCACAGGCTGGAGGCGCTGGGGCTGGACTGGCAGAGTGCCCTCCCTTTCTTCCAGGGGCACCAGGAAGTAGTGGGGGACAAATCTCGGATGCCACTCCAGGCAGAGGCATCACCTTCCAGGTCTGGCCCACCACTGGCCTCTCCCACTTTGAAACAATAAATAAACAACAACAAAAGCAACTTATTACCCAGTGATTTAATTGGTGGTTGGTTATAGGGCACCCAAGCCTTGGGGACCACATGACTGTCCCCCAGGAAAATCATGAAGCAGGGCAGTCCCCAGCCCTGGGTGAGAGCTGCCTTCACTGAGCATGGTCTCCCTGGCACCCTTGGAGAGGGAGGAGCAGACCCCTCTGGGAGGGTCCAGGCATACCCCCAGGTATCCTGCCCAGCAAGTCCCAACCCAGGCCTGCGGGAAGGAGGGGGAGCCCTCACTGCCAAGCCACCCCCACCTCACCACCGGAAAAACCAACAACCCAAAACCCCAAAGGAAGGAGATTGCCAGGCGTCTTCATGGGGAAGCATTTCACAAATGGGGACGCTCAGGCGGTCCATCGCCTTGAATTGGAGCATTCCCGCTGAGTCACCCAAGAAGCCTGTGGTGTTGAAACTGGTCCGGTGCCTCGTGCTGATTAATGAATTACAAATCCCCCACCCATGTGCATTCTCCCTGGTCACTGGAGGAAGAATGAAGAACCTTGTGAACTTGAGGGAAAAAGTCCCGCCAAGTGGCCTCTTCTCGCCTCTGGGCCGGGCAGTGGGCCTGCGGTGCCCTCTTCCTCCCCCGCAGGGGGCATTGTGAGCTGGTTAGTCACCTGCCCCAGCCCCAGCGCCTCGCTTAGCTCTAGCTTTTGGAAATGGGACAAGCGGCGGGACAATAGGCAAGGGGGGCGGTCAGCCCAGACAAAGGGCAGCAGGAAAAACACCATCACTTGCTCCCAGGCCAGCTTGCTGGCATTTGGGAGAATGTGTCATTGCATTTACTCAAGGGGGAGGAGGAGGGAAGGTTAGAGATGAGGAGGCAGAGGTAGGGTGGGAGCAGGGACCCCGCACAGGCAGAGGTAGGGTGGGAGCTGGGACCCCGCACCGGGCAGGGGGCAGGGGGTGGTGTCCCCAGGCCAACGCCAGGGGAGAAGCCCACCGAAGCCGGCGCTGTCCACCGGCTCCCGGGAGTCCTCAGACGGACTGATGGCCTCCCCGCCCCCTCCCCCAGGAGGCCCAGGGTGGTACCGCCACAGCCTCGCCTCACCTCACCCCCCCTCGGTGCTGTGGGAGGGAGAGGGAGCCCCAGAAGCCCTCCCTTCCCTCCTCCCCCCTCCTACCCCCACCCCGGGGAGGGCCGCTACAATTTGTGGTTACAGCTTTACACGTCAGAAAAAAAAAAAAAGTTTGCAGAATGTCCCACACCGAAAAAAAAAAAAAAAAAAAAAAAAACCCGAAACCGAGCGAAAAAAACCTGCGAGTGGGCCTGGCGGATGGGATTATTAAAGCTTCGCCGGAGCCGCGGCTCGCCCTCCCACTCCGCCAGCCTCCGGGAGAGGAGCCGCACCCGGCCGGCCCGGCCCCAGCCCCATGGACCTCCGAGCAGGTAGGAGCCAGGCGGCCGAGGCCCCGGCCCCCGCCCCACCGAGCAGCCACGAGATCCGGTTCCCGTCCTGCCTTGACCCCCGGGAGCCCCGCGCCGGGGCCGGGCCACAGAGCTGGGCTCCAGCCGGGGGAGGCACGGCTGGGCGCCCTCGAGAGGGGCCAGGCGGGGACGCGGCATTCCTGGAGTCCCCACGGCGGGGCCAGGAGATGGCCGGGAGCGGCGCGGAGCCCGGACGATAGCAGACCTGGGGAGGCGGCAACCTGGAGCCCCAGCCCCAGAGCCCTGCGCACAAGTTGGGGCCAAAGAGTCCGAGACGGGGAGCGAGGCTGCGGGTGGGAGGAGGGGCCGGGAGAAGAAGAGGGAGGGAGGCCGGGGAAGCCCGAGGCTGGGCGGCGGGAGGCGAGGGGAGGCCGACACCTCGGGCCGCGCCGCTCTCCCTCCCCGGCCCGCCGGGAGGGGTAGGAGGGCGGGCGGGAGGAAGGGCGGGCGGCGGAGAGGAGGGCGGAGGGCAGCGCCGAGCCTGGCTGGGCCGGGCCGGACCGGACAGGCCGAGCCGCGCCGCGCCACGGGACTCGCGGCTTCCTAGCTGGGCGCCGCGCGGCCGGAACCCTCCATGGTGCCCACGGCCGGGGAGCCGGCGGCAGGTAGGGGCGGCGGGCGGCGGCCGCGAGTCCCCCGGGCCACCGTGGCCTGGGAGTGATTATTGTTGGGCGGGGGACGGGCGCAGCAGGGCCGGACCCGGCAGGAAAAAGTCTGTCACCGGCCAGGGAGCGGCGGGAGCAGCCGCTCAGCCTGGGCAGGAGGGGAGTTGACGCGCGGGAAAGGGCAGCGCCAGACAGAGCCCGGAGCCCGGTGCCCCGGACCCCGCCCCCGCCCCCGCCGCCGGGAAGGAGCGACCGGGCGGGAGCGGGAGGGGGCGGGGCCGGGGGCGCCGGGGCCACACAGAGGGAAGGCGCAGCGCCGGGAGGGGTCCCGGAGCGAGAGGTCACCGCCGGGAGGGAGGGCCAGCTGGCGACCGCCGCCGTGCTGCTTTCCGGCCGAGCCCCTCGAAGGAAACCTTCGAAGGAGTCCCCGGGGCTCGCCAGAGTCCTCTCATGCTTGCTCTCCCCACCCGCTTTCCTTTCCACAACTCCGCGCAGGGCTCCTGGAGCCTTCCCTACAGACCCCCGCCAATCCCAGAAGACCTCTGTTCCCCCAGGTCCCAGCCTGGCCCTCCCCCCGGGGTGTGAGGGGCTGCCAGGAGAGAAGGGGAGACGGGCGGGTGCAGGCTAAGCCCTGGAGAGAGGCTGGGGGGTGGGGGGCACTGGGCACACTGCTCTGCCGGGTCCTCCTTCTCTGACCCTGATCCAGGGACACCTCTGTGCTTTCACTGCCCCCAACTGACCTCCGCTACCGCTCGGGAGCACACGTTGCCCCTCACACCGGACAGGACGGGAGTACATATTCCCCTAACAGACCAGACGCACTCCAGCCAGCTCAGACACCCTCGCTACCCTGGAGCCACACACTCCACCAGGGGAGGAAGCAGAGATGGCAGTTGTCACCCAGCAGCCCCAGAAGTGACACTGCTGATGGGTGCAATGGCTCCCTGTCCCCTTCATTCACAGTCCCACACTCTTGTCCGTCACACTTCTGCGTGCCACCCCTGCACACCAGCCACTGGCTGACACTTCACATTCCTCCCGACGTCCCACCTCTTGTGCACACCTGGCTCCTGCACTCTCCCCCAGCCCCTCCCGCACCCCTCTTGATAACAACACCCTTTCTAACTCACCCACCACTGCCCTGGACTCCTCCTTCACTGCTCCCCCTGCCTCTGGCTCTCAGTGGGCTGCTGGGCTACCCCCTAGCTCCTCGCTGGCCTCCCTGAGCACACCCAGGGCCCTCTTGCGGCACAATCAGGAACCCTCTCGCTCCAGCCAAAGCCCAACTCCTGTCTCGCTTGCTTGGTTACTGACTTCATAAGGCAGGGGGGCTGGCCCACCCTCAGCTTCTTCCCCTGGGCCTCAGTGACTTCTGTCATTTAGGCTGGAAGAGAAGGGCAGGAAGGGGGATGCTGGAGAGGAGAGAGATGAAGCCCTGCATGTTTCCTCTGGGAGGAATTGAGCATGCATAGTGTGACCTCTCTGTGCAAGCCCACAGTCACCAAAGGGGTTGGTGGCAAAACTAGGTCTCCCAATTCCCAGGCCCATGTGTCCCCACTCACCAAGCCACTTCTCAGTGGCCTGGGGGAAAGGGAACCAAGGAAAAGGCAGAAGGGAGGGAAGTAAGAGAGGGGAAGGCAGCAGACCACAGGGTAGAAGGATGATGGGTTTCTGTGGGCCTTTGCCTGGGAAGGCAGGTCAGGACACGCCCCTAGGGCAGTTTCCTACAGTCACAATGCCTGGACCTCACCCACTCCATCCCTCACCCACTCCTCACCTATTCCGCCTAACCCACTCCATCCCTCAATTCCTCTCAACAGACCCCTCCAACCGCAGCAGCCAGCACTGGTCCTGGTCTGGCCTTTCCTCCTTGCTCCCATATTCAGTCCAGCCTGAGGCCACTATGCCCCACCTCTGGAGGTCTGCAGTGCCTCCCTGGCTACATTTAGGGCTCACAGTTCTTAGCCTAGCTCTTATAGTCCCAGGTGCAAAGACTCCCATTGACTTGTCCTACCACCCTAACCACCCTGGTACATCTGAACGGCTGAACCCTCACCCTCACTGGGAAAGCTCAGCCCGGGGGCGTCCAGGCCAGGGACTGAGGGGCAGCTGGCTAAAGTGGCTAAAGACCACGGGTGCGCCTGCCTGTGCAGCTGTCTGGGTGGCCGGTCACTTCCTTGGGCTGAGAGAATATATGTGTGTGTGTGTGTGTGTGTGTGTGTGTGTGTGTGTGTGTGTGTGTACCCAGGCTGAGAAGCTCTGCTTTATTGGTTTATAGTAATGTTGGTATTCACTGCGTGTGTGTGTGTTCATGAGGAGGGCCTTGGTTCCCAGGGCCCAGGGATCTCGGAATGGAGAGGGGCTACGGTTGTGTGTGTGTGTGTGTGTGTGTGTGTGTGTGTGTGTGTGTGTGTGTTCATGAGGAGGGCCTTGGTTCCCAGGGCCCAGGGATCTGGATGGAATTAGGGGCTGGCCGGGTGGGGGCCAGGATAGGGGGTGGGGGGCTGCTGCAGGAAACGTGAGCTGCACTCATTAGCTCCTCACGTGCTCAGCCAGATTTATAAACACACAGAGAAGACGGGATGTAAACAATCAGTGGGCAGCAGCCAGAGGCAGAGCTGAGGCGGGGGCCGGGCTGGGGGCCAGGACTGGTGGGGAGGGGGAGAGGGGGACCCAGGACACAGCCCCAGTGGTCGGGGTCCACCTGCACACCATGAGCCTAAGGGAGGATGGATGAGGGCTCCAGGAAGCCCACCATGCACTCTCAGGAGGCAGGCGAGCTGTGCTGGGTTCCCGAGCTCACAACTACACCACAAGTGTTCACCCCACACTGCTTTCCTCCTGCTGCCTGAGACACGGGCATGGGCATGGCTTGCCCAGAGTGAAAGCTGTCATAGCAGGGGCAGAGCCCTGTCCTTCTACCCCCCTTTCTCCTCTCCTAACCTCGTCTCCCTCTGGATTCCTGAGAGCCCTTCCCTCTTTCTAGTTCTGTGGGCCGTCGGATCCTTCTGTTCTCCCCTGCCCCCCCCCCCGCCCACCCCCAGCCTGCAACGACACAGTTACCTCAGAACTGAAATATTCCTGGAAACACCGGCCTCGTCTGGTTAATTTCATGAGCCGTTTTTTTCTGCCCAGATGACTTAGTTCTTGTCTATCCAAAGGCTTCTCCCCCTGCTGTCCCTGTGTAGGGAGCTGATCTCCCCTAGGGATGTCCCACAGGGCTCAGAATGGGAGAGGGATAAGTCCCAAGCTGGGTTCCTGACTATACCTCTTGGCCGTGACATAGGCAGAACCTAGAACTCCAGTCAACATGTGGGTAAAGAGGGACGCCTAGCTCCCAGCTCCTGCTTCAGTTGGGACCCTCAGCCTTGCCGCTAACTTTGAATGAAGCCAGACTCGATGCTGAAAGCAACCTCAAGGCTGGGAGGGCCACTGCCCAATTCAGCAGGTCTCCAATCTCCAAAACTAATTCTACTCTGTACCCATAGGATCCTAGAGGTGACTGCCAGATCCCCAGGCTTGGAGTTGTGTTGGAATGTGAGGAACAGGGAGGAGAAAGGAACTGAGTCAGGCAAGAGCTGGGGATAGAAAGGAAGAGTGAGGAAAGCAGCATCCAGGAGGAAGCCACAGACTCAGAGGGCACAGGAAAGGGGGAGCCAGTCTCCCTAGGGAGCAGTTGAGTGCCTGACCCTACTCTCTGTCCTAAAATACACGTGTGTACACACACTCACACTTGCCTCAAACCAAGACCCTGTGACTGGTGGTACCCCACCCCCATGCTCCCTCAGTAAAGCTGGCCAGCCACACATCTGAAAGAGTCCATACTGACCAGGGGGCCACTGCCAAAGTCCTCACTGGCCCCTGTCCTCCATAAGAGATGTTTTATAAAAATGGAGTCTTGCATCCTTCCTAGCTAGTAGCCCTCTCCAAAACTCTGCCCCAGCGCTGTGATTAAACCTAACCTAGTCTTCATTCTTTCTTCAAATCCCATCCTAACCATGGGCAAAGTGTTATATCTCTTTAAGTTATTTCTACCTATCAAAGCAACCTATGTCATTATAGAAAAATCTGAGAGTATAAAATATGAACTATAGGAGTGGTGGGAAGGTGGCAGCAAAAAAAAAAAAAAAAAAAAAAGAACAAAAAGGAAAAAAAAAAAATAAAGGAAAGAAACCACTCGTGACCTCACATTTATTCAAGTTGAAAACCCAAACTAGCCCTGCTCTTCATGACATAAGCAGCGCCCCATCTGGTATCTAAACCGACCAAGTCACAGCCCTCCAGCTCACCTTCTGCCTGCCCAGACCTCACTACATCCCCTGCTGGACTCAAACCTCAACCACACTAAATCAACCAAATCCCAAGTCTAAACTAATCTGAAACTTTTAAAGTAACCCAGTCCTTAAATCTAACCTAGCCCAATGCCAATTATATCTATCCTAGCCAAACCCTAACTGCATTTGCCAGTCCAAAGTGTCCACTCAATCCTCACCTTGGTCCTCACTTAAAATCCCAGAAAAGCGTATTTCCCCACTATCCATGTCCCTCTTTACAGCACCCAACCCTGGCCTCTGGACTCCTGGTATCCTGGGATGTCCAAACTCTGCAGTGCCATCAGCCAACAAGCCCAACTCGTCAAATGCACCTCTCTCCCTTCCTGTCCCCACCCTCGCAGGCTGATGGAAAGGCCTCATTGAAGTCCAACTTTCCCCCACCTAACACCAAGAATGGCGTGAACCTCCACACTGCCACCATTCCCTGAGAGTGAGCACTAAATCTTCAATCTAACCCCACCCTATGCTTCCCACACTCAGGAATCACATCCTAGAATATACCCAAAACTAGCCCCATAAGGCAGCCCGACCCTGGTGGTCTAACACTATACCTTGCCTCTTATGGACGGCTGTGTTCTTGGCGGCTGCCTCTCTCCTGCTTCCTCCCTTGGGGCTGACTGCTCAGCCTGCCAGCTCTGACATGTGCTGTCTCCCACCCTGTGACTCCCCTCAAGCTGCAGTGGGACTGGGAGACTGGCAGGAAGCTATGGCACAACTGGAACACAGGCAGGTCGACCTGTAGTCCCTAGGCCTGTCCCTGTCCCTCCATGTACACACACATATATGTTGGCACACACACAGTGGCACACATGCCAAAGACTCTCTCAGCTGACACACAGATACACTCTCAAGTATCTACTGATAGACACTTATGCATGCCAAGTCCTCATCCTCAAACACACACACGCCTCTCTTTCTCTCCCCTCTCGCCAGGGGTGTTTTCCCTCCTCCATCCCCTCTGCCTCCCATCTGGTGTCCCACCCTCACCCACCTTCCAGCCCAAGGTGGGGACAGACACCTGAGGGGCTGCCAGATGCTTCCCCGTGTGGGCCTGGGCCGCACTCATGCTTCTCGTCCATCCTGCCCGCAGGGGACTCGTGGGGGATGTTAGCGTGCCTGTGCACGGTGCTCTGGCACCTCCCTGCAGTGCCAGCTCTCAATCGCACAGGGGACCCAGGGCCTGGCCCCTCCATCCAGAAAACCTATGACCTCACCCGCTACCTGGAGCACCAACTCCGCAGCTTGGCTGGGACCTATGTGAGTATCCAGAGTAGGAGTCTGGGAGTTGGGGAGGAGTGAGGAGTTGGGGGAAGACAGTCCTAACCGTGGAGGGTCCTGGTAAATGATGGGGTGAGGAGGGGCTCTTTGGCTCCCACCAGTCCCCCTGTCTGGCTTATCTACTGCCCTTCCCTCTTAGGTGGCCTCCCCACCTCCCCATCCCTCGCCCCAGGACTAGGCATGTGGGCAGGCCTCGCACCCGCCTTGGCCCATTGCCCCACTGGCTGCCAGCCCAGCCGTCCGCCTCCCCCTGGGGGCCGGGGAAGTCTCCTCTGTTTACACCGTGTTGTGGTGTCTCTTGCGCGGGCGGGGTTGGGTGGGGATGGAGGGGCCCCACCTCCCATGCCTGCGTTCCAGCTCGCCTCTACCCCCAGACCTGGGGCCCTGCTGCTCTGGACCCAGGGGCCTCCCTTCCGTCTGCCTCTCCCATCCTAGCTGGGCCTCCTATGGGGGTCATGGGGGAAGGGGACTGTAGGGAACCCAGGTAGTAGTGGCAGGGTGTTTAGGGTGTGGATGGAGGTGATGCTATAAGGATTTGGGGGTGGTCCAGAGGTGTTCAGAGAGCCCAGGAGAGAAGGAAGGAGGGTCGGAGGAGCCGAGGACCATGGGGAACCGGCCCCCTCTTCCCGTGTTCCTCTTCCACATCCCAGACTCTACTCTGGAGCCAGGGAAAGGAAAGGGAGGAGGGTGGCGGGGGAGCTGGCTCCAGCCCCAGGATACACCGAGGAAATTAGTTTGTCTCTGTGCTTGTCAGCGTGTGAACCTCCCCCTGGGCCCTTGCCTATCCCAGGCCTCTCCCCTTGCTTCTCCCTTCTTTCCCAGTTACACATCGCCCTCATCCCTTTCCCTGGGCCCCAGCCGCTCCCCCGAGGGTTGGCAAGGGCTCTGCCTTCTTCCCTATACCATGCTGTCTTCCATAGCCTTCCTCCTGTCCTACTCATGAGACTGCCTCCATTTCTTCCTTCTGCAGCCTAGCTCCTTTCAACTGAACCCTTCCTTCGGAGTGTTAGTGAGTACCCGTCTCTCCCCAGCCCCTCAGCTGGTCGGCCCGGGTGTGTCAGTGGCAAATGGGACTCTGGTGCCAATGGGCCCCTCTCATCTCTCTCTTGTTCCTTGTGCAGAAAACCTTTGCTTCATTCCACTGCCCCCTCTAGTTCCCGACCCTTTTTCTCTCCTCGCTTTCCCTGCCAAATTTCTCGAAGGAGTGGTCTACACCCTCTGCCTCCACTTCCTCTCCACCCACTCACTTCTTAACCCCCTGCAATCTGGCTTCCAGGCCCCAGCAGTGGTTCTCTCCAAGGTCGTCAGGCACCTCCTTGCCAAGCCCGACAGTGTTTTGAAGGCTCATTCTCCTTGCTGTCTGTTTTGCAGCCACACTGCTGAGCACTGCTGCCTTCTCGAACTCCTCTTCCTTGACCTCTGCACTCTCCTGGGCCACCTTCTACCTCTCCAGCCTCACCCCCTGGCTCCTCCAGGCTCCTCTTCTTCTCTGTCCTGCCCCACAGCGGGCACTCTCCCAAGGTTTGCCCACCAAGCCAATCAGCACGTCCTTCCTGAGCGTCTCCTGCGTCTCCTCCTCCTCTTTCTACGCCTCTCCATTGGGAGGTCATCACCGCCACTGCTTCAGCTGTCATCTGCATACAAATGATATCCTTATTGGAGAAACTCAGGGAGACCATGAACAGAGAAGCCTAGCATGGAGACAGGGCCAGTGTCAGGGGACACAAAAAATAGAAACTTTGGGAGCAGGTATCTCCTCGGTGGTGAGACAGCTGCTCTGCCCTCCTCCTTCCCCATCACCCTCTCCTTTTCACAGCTGAACTACCTGGGCCCTCCTTTCAACGAGCCTGACTTCAACCCTCCCCGCCTGGGGGCAGAGACTCTGCCCAGGGCCACTGTTAACTTGGAGGTGTGGCGAAGCCTCAATGACAAACTGCGGCTGACCCAAAACTACGAGGCTTACAGCCACCTTCTGTGTTACTTGCGTGGCCTCAACCGTCAGGCTGCCACTGCTGAGCTGCGCCGCAGCCTGGCCCACTTCTGCACCAGCCTCCAGGGCCTGCTGGGCAGCATTGCAGGCGTCATGGCAGCTCTGGGCTACCCACTGCCCCAGCCGCTGCCTGGGACTGAACCCACTTGGACTCCTGGCCCTGCCCACAGTGACTTCCTCCAGAAGATGGATGACTTCTGGCTGCTGAAGGAGCTGCAGACCTGGCTGTGGCGCTCAGCCAAGGACTTCAACCGGCTCAAGAAGAAGATGCAGCCTCCAGCAGCTGCAGTCACCCTGCACCTGGGGGCTCACGGCTTCTGACTTCTGACCTTTGCCGCCTCCTCTTCGCTCCCCCTTCAAACCCTGCGTCCACTTTGGGAGAGCCAGCCCTGTATGCCAATACCTGTTGAGCCAGGAGACAGAAGCTGTGAGCTTCTGGCCCTCTCCTGGACCGGCTGGGCGTGTGATGTGATCAGCCTTGTCTCCTCCCCACCTCCCAAAGGTCTACTGAGCTGGGGAGGAGGTGCAATAGGCCCTGTCCTGTCCTGTTTCTACAGGAAGTCATGCTCGAGGGAGTCTGAAGTGGTTCAAGTTGGTGCAGAGGCTCTCATGGCCTCCTGCTTCTTGCCTACCACTTGGCCAGTGCCCCCAGCCCCTCAGGTGGCACACCTGGAAGGCAGGAGTTGAGGGGCCACCACCACACATGACTTTCTGGGGTGAAGCCCTTTGGCTGCCCCACTCTCCTTGAATGGGTGTTGCTCTCTTACCCCCAAATCACTCTATACATCCAATTCAGGAAACAAACATGGTGGCAATTCTACACAAAAAGAGGTAAGATTAACAGTGCAGGGGTGGGGTCTGCATTGGAGGTTCCCTATAAACCAGAAGAGAAAATACTGAAAGCAGAGGGGCAGGGACAGACCACAACAGACCCAGGAGTCTCCAAAGCACAGAGTGGCAAACAAAAGCCAAGCTGAGCATCAGGACCTTGCCTCGAATTGTCTTCCAGCTTTACAGTGCCTCCTCTCTGCCCCCTTTCCCAGGGTATCTGTGGGTTGCCCAGGCTGGGGAGGGCAACCATAGCCACACCACAGGATTTCCTGAAAGTTTACATTGCAGTAGCATTTTGGGGTGTGGGGTGGCAGCTCCCCCAGGCCCTGCCCCCCCAGCCCCACCCACTCATGACTCTAAGTGTGTTGTATTTATATTTATTTATTTGGAGATGTTATTTATTAGATTATATTTATTGCAGAATTTCTATTCTTGTATTAACAAATAAAATGCTTGCCCCAGAACTTAGTCTCTTTGCCCGGCCTCACCCCTCCTGGTGCTCATCAGACTCTCTTGCCGCCCTGGCTCCCACTCCCTGCTTGCCTCTGGTGAAGCTGCACAGAGCTCTGGGAAGAGGTGCTCTTCCTCCCCGCACTGGGGTGATGGGCGCACCTCAGACTTGTCCACTCCTGCTCCCACCACCAACCCCTTGATCCCTCAGTCCTCCCACACAGCTTCTGTCTACTCCAGGTTTCCCTCACCCAGCCTTTGCTCAGTCTTCCTCACCTTTCTGGGATTCGTTTGTTTTTTTTTTTTTTTTTTTTTTAGGGGGGCTCGTTTTGTCGCCCAGGCTGGAGTGCAGTGGTGTGATCTCTGCTCACTGCAAGCTCTGCCTCCCAGGTTCATGCCATTCTCCTGCCTCAGCCTCCCGAGTAGCTGTGACTACAGGCACCTGCCACCACGCCTGGCTAAGTAGAGACAGAGTTTCACCGTGTTAGCCAGGATGGTCTCAATCTCCTGACCTCGTGATCCGCCCGCCTCGGCCTCCCAAAGTGCTGGGATTACAGGCATGAGCCACCGCGCCCGGCCTCAGTTTTTCTTTGAGAGTCTCACTCTGTTGTCCAGGCTGGAGTGCAGTGGCATGATCTTGGCTCACTGCAACCTCCGCCTCCTGGGTTCAAGTGATTCTTGAGTTGCTGGGATTACAGGGGTGCGCCACCATGCCAGGTTTTTTTGTTTTTTGTTTTTTTTCTTTTTTAGTAGAGACGGGGTTTCACCATGTTGGCCATGCTGGTCTCGAATTCCTGACCTCAGGTGATCTACCTGCCTCAGCCTCCCAAAGTGCTGGGATTACAGGCGTGAGCCACTCACCCAGCCAACCTCACCTTCCTGGATTGCATTAACAGTATCAAAGGTCTGTCTTCCCACCTTGAATTTCTGTTTCTGCCCTCTGGCCCAGCCTCCTTGTGATGAGCAAAGCTAATCATCTGCCTCTCTGGCGCTCTACCCTGAGCAGTCAGCCCCTGGGCTTCACTCCCCAGCTTCCCCAGGACTCCTGCCTGTCTCTGTCCACTGGGGCTTCAGGAGCAGTGACCCTCACTTCAACACCCTTCCTCTCTTTAGGAGGGAAACAGACTGTGACCAAGTCACGGTCCTTAGCTGTAACTCCACTCCTTTCTCTCCAATGTAAGACAGCATATTCCAGAAAAGAAAAACTCAGATTGTGAGAGAATGGGATAGGTGCTATTCAAAGGATGCCCTAAGCTCAAACCTCAGACTCATAACCTATGAGTGACCAGTTTCCCCGTCAGTAAAGCGGGGATAATTAAACGCCCTTCTAAGAATGCTGCAAAGGATAACAGGAACAACAAAGGGCAGATGCTTGGATGTAGCAGCAGCAGCTGTAGTCCTTACAGATTACTTAGGCTCTAGCAGCATGTCATGACACTTTAGTTAGGAACCACTGGGTAAGTCAATGGATGAACAGCTCCCAGGTAATACATGGATATTTTATGAACCTTGAGAGCTTGTTTGGAGGTTCTAGCAGGGGAGTGAGGCTACTAGTATACCCTTGACTAAAGACTGATCCTCCTCTATTAGGGATGGTTGTCCTCTTCGATCGAGCGCACAGCTTTGGGAGGGATGCACGTGGAGCGGTGAGGGAGGAAGGGGACACCGGCCTAGCCAGCCAGATCAGCCAAATCAACCCTGGTGATCAATGGGGTGACAGATGTCACAGCCAGATCGTCCTCACATCCTACATGAGTATTTTATAAGGGCCTCCTGGAGACAATACTTTAAGTAAAGAAAGTAAGAAATGATAGCAATGTCAATCAGTTGACAAATATTTTAAAGACCTAATTACCTGCCTGTCACTGTGCTAACTGGTGTAGAAAAGCCAAAAGAAGCCTAAAACCTAATTTGGCTCCTGCTCTTACAGAGCTTATAATCTACTAGGGAAGAAAAGGTCAATGTACCTGAAATAATAAGGGCCACAGGCATATCTGTGCGATGCAGACAGAGCTGCCGGCAAGTGCAAGAACCACTAGAAAAGGGAGAGGTCAGAATGTAGGTGCAAGAGCTACTGACTTGCTTGTGGGTGAGGCAAGCCAGCTCTGCTAAATGTCCCTGAGTCATCTGGCCTAAGTTAGAGGGAACATGCCCCACCCTGAGGGGTCCAGGCTCCTCAGGTCGAGACATCTGCCCAGGCATGGCCAGGGGCACCTGCAGGCCCTGCCCCCTGTATAACAAGATAGAAAGGAGAGGGTATCAGGGCTGTCTCCATACATAGTCAAAATAAGCTGTGACCTGTGATATGCAAAGCATTAAGTAGGGGCTATAAGGAATACAGAGGTAAGTAAGGAGGAGGTCCTATCATCAGAGAGTTTACACAGTGCTATCCTGTTGAGTTTCTTGGGGGCAGCTTTTGAGTCTTCTTCATCTCACTATACCAGCACCCAACTTAGACTCCATCCTAAAGAACGTGCTCAATGAGTGTGTTGGACAAAACAATCTAGAAAAAGGAATAGAAACCCTTCCCTGCAAATGGTAGAATATAAGGCAGAATTCGATTAAATGCAGAAAGATCCAGGCAAAATACTACAGAAGACTAGGAAAGACAGACTGCATCTAGTTAGGTGAAGGCCCTCTAGGCTGTGAGCCCTATTAGGGGAGAAAACGGCATCTGAAGTTCTTGCTGACTTCCACAGCTGTATTTCCAGTGCAGAACACACAGCAAGTGCTCAATGGTTACCTTTTCCATAAAGGCATGCGGTGGGATTTGACACCATTCTTGGAGGATGGGCAGAATTCAGATAGATGGAGATGGGGCAGAATAAGAGTTAGTTAAGTGTGGCCGGGTGTGGTGGCTCATGTCTGTAATCCTAGCACTTTGGGAGGCCGAGGCGGGCTGATCACCTGAGATTGGGAGTTCGAGACCAGCCTGACCAACATGGAGAAACCCTGTCTCTACTAAAAATACAAAATTAGCCAGGCGAGATGGTACATGCCTATAATCCCAGCTACTAGGGAGACTGAGTCAGGAGAATCATTTGAACCTGGGAGGCAGAGGTTGCGGTAAGCCGAGATCGTGCCATTGCACTCCAGCCTGGGCAACAAGAGTGAACTCTGTCTCAAAAAAAAAAAAAAAAAAAAAAATAGTTAAGTGTATTTGTCTTTTTCTTTTTTGTTGTTGTTTTTTTGAGATGGAGTCTCACTCTGTCGCCCAGGCTGGAGTGCAGTGGCATGATCTTGGCTCACTGCAAGCTCTGCCTCCCGGGTTCACACCATTCTCCTGCCTCAGCCTCCCGAGTAGCTAGGACTACAGGTGCCCACCATCGTGCCCGGCTAATTTTTTGTATAGACAGGGTTTCACCATGTTAGCCAGGGTGGTCTCGATCTCCTGATCTCGTGATCTGCCCGCCTCAGCCTCCCAAAGTTCTGGCATTACAGGTGTAAGCCACTATGCCCAGTGTATTTGTCTTTTTCAAGCAAATAACATCTTGAGGGTGAGGCCCATGATTTATTCATCTTTGCATCACTACGGCATTTTAGTGTTTTGTTGTTTTTTTCTTTTGAGACGGAGTCTCGTTCTGTCACCGAGGCTGGAGTGCAGTGGCACCATCTCAGCTTACTGCAATCTCCGCCTCCCAAGTTCAAGAAACTCTTCTGCCTCAGCCAATCAAGTAGCTGGGATTACAGGCATCCACCACCATGCCTGGCTAATTTTTTTTTTTTTTTTTGAGACGGAGTCTCGCTCTGTCGCCCAGGCTGGAGTGCAGTGGCCGGATCTCAGCTCACTACAAGCTCCGCCTTCCGGGTTTACGCCATTCTCCTGCCTCAGCCTCACGAGTAGCTGGGACTACAGGCGCCCGCCACCTCGCCCGGCTAGTTTTTTGTATTTTTTAGTAGAGATGGGGTTTCACTGTGTTAACCAGGATGGTCTCGATCTCTTGACCTCGTGATCCGCCCGTCTCGGCCTCCCAAAGTGCTGGGATTACAGGCTTGAGCCACCGCGCCCGGCCGCCTGGCTAATTTTTGTATTTTTAGTAGAGACGGGGTTTCACCACATTGGCCATGCTGGTCTTGAACTCCTGACCTCAATCTGATCTGCCCACTGTGGGCTCCCAAAGTGCTTGGATTACAGGTGTGAGCCACTGTGCCCAGCCCTACAGCATTTTGGTGTAATGCCTGGCACAGTAAAACCTTGATAATTTTTTTTTCTTTTTTTTGAGACAGAGTCCCGCTCTGTCTCCAGGCTAGAGTGCAGTGGCGCGATCTTGGCTCACTGCAACCTCCGATTCCCAGTTCCAGCAATCCTCCCACCTCAGCCTCCTGAGTAGCTGGAATTACAGGCATGCATCGCCACATCCGACTTTTTATTTTTTTAATTTTTTTTAGTAGAGATGGGGTTTCACCATGTTGTCCAGGCTGGTCTTGAACTCCTGATCTCAAGTGATCTGCCTGCCTCGGCCTCCCAAAGTGCTGGGATTGTAGGTGTGAGCCACTGCACCCAGCCAAACCTTGAAAATTTGACTTAAACTGATTTAAAGAGTGTCAAGACATCAGTTAATAGGGTTGCTATATTAGAGAAAAATTTTAACAGTGTGTCAAGACAATAGTGTTTTGGAAATTGACAGAAAAGGCCAGGCACAGTGGCTCACACCTATAATCCCAGCACTTTGGGAAGGTGAGGCAGGAGGCTCACTTGAGCCCAGGAGTTCAAGACCAGCCTGGTCAAAATGGCGAAATCCTATCTCTATAAAAAACACAAAAATTAGCCAGGCGTGGTGGCTTAGGCCTGTAATTCCAGCGCACTTTGGGAGGCCGAGGTGGGCGGATCGTGAGGTCAGGAGATTAGACCATCCTGGCCAACATGGTGAAACCCCATCTCTACTAAAACTACAAAAATCAGTTGGATGTGATGGTACACGCCTGTAGTCCCAGCTACTAGGGAGGTGAGGCAGGAGAATCGCTTGAACCCAGGAGGTGGAGGTTGCAGTGAGCCGAGATTGCGCCACTGCAC